CACGTTTGTTTTTACGATTTATTTTAATCAGAAATGTTTGTCAATGTACTTCAACTTATTCCTAAATATAAAAGAAATGTATCACACTATAAAAATAAAATTTTCATATGTATATTGATTGCGTATCATATGGCATTTTGCGTCTGTGTTGATCCCTCTTAGCGTTTTGTGTAATTATCAACATCGTGAGGCCTCTTTGTCATCATATCGTTCAGACGTTTACAGCAACTCGGCACGCCTCGTAATCGGATCAGAACAAATAATACTCGGCATTTAATGTTTCGACGTGACACTGTCGACGTCGGTGTCGATTACCAGCGAATCCGAGTCTGCAACGTTTATCTGGCTGGAATTCCGGGGGAGAATGCGCGGCACGAATCCTGTGTGACATCTCTGCCGGAAATAAATGGGGACCTTAAGCGTCGCATTGAGACGATGGCGCGAGCTCTCGCTCTTGCTGAAGCTATCGGTATTCTAATTACTTGCAGCGCGAAAATAGCGAGGAACTTGGGGCGCGTAATTACACCGGAGGACGCGCGCCGCCTTATTAAGCTATCTCATTTTCTTCGGCGAGCAGCAGGCCGCTCGATGGCTTCGCCGGTCGTGCTTCTTCCTTGAGTTTTATCCGATAAAGGACGGTGCGATCTACGAGCCGGGAAGTACGTCGGGGGATGACCTCGGAATAGCGAGTGAGGGTGCGGAGAGCTGGAAGCTCGATGGTCAACGTCGACGATTACCGCGCGGGAAAGAAAAAAAAAAGAAAAAAGAAAAAAAGAAACGCCGTCGTCTTTTCCCGGGTTTATTTAACTCCCCTCTCTCTCTCTCTCTCTCTCTCTCTCCAAAAGGAGTCTACCGAGCACAAACTCCGGAACTTCGTCCGCTCCCGCGACGCGCCTCTAACTACAAGTTTGAAAGAATAACGTGAACGTCGAAGTTTGGACCCTGACGACGTTAATAACAATGCAGTCGCCCGTATTTTTTCTTTCGTTTAGTTAATTGCAAAAAAACTATCGTAGTACAAAATTAATCGATGCGAATTTGCAAAAAAAGTTTTCAAGTAAACAATCATTACGAGACTAAGTTTTGTGTGCCGTTCTATATATATTTGCGTACATAATTATTTGAAAAGTTTAATATTTAACCCTTAACCACAATTCTGAAAAGTATTTTTAATTTACACGAAAAGGTTTTGCTAAAGTATCTAAAAAATTTAGCTAGATCTGAAAATAGTATTGTATTATCAAAATAATTATGTACAATGTTCAAATTGGAATGTCGCGCGCACGCGAAGCTTTTAGCGATATTACTCATGTTTGAGATTTCTACATAATCATTTTGATAGATCCAACAATATTGACCTGAATTTAATTAAATTTTTGGATACGTCAGTAAAATCATTTTTTTCGTGCATATATTATACATATTTTCGACCTAAAGCTTTTTCTCTTGTTGTATCTTTTATGAATTTTAATAGGTTTTAATTAATTTTTTTCAATTAAAACGCTGAATTATAGAATTCAAATCTATAAACAAAAAAATGTTTCGATGATAACATTAAAATTATGATTAAAAATATAAGTAAGAATTTTGCAGAAAAGTGCGAAAAAGAATGTTTTTCGAAAAAAAATAAGTATCATTTTAGAAAAAGAAAATTATAAACTTTAAAAAAATATATTATAACTTATAATGTTCGATTTCTTAAACAGCATAATTATTTCAGTAGATGAACTTGGTATATTTTGAGATATATTTTGATATATTTGTACGCTGAAAGTATGTTACAATATTATAAATATAATAAATTGACAAATGATTATTATAATAATATAAATATATTATTGAAATTTTGATTAATTATAATTAATATAAAAAAAGGAAAGTTTTATTGGCTTGCGCAAATTTCACAAAGTGTGGCCTTGTTTTATTTTTTGTTATAAAAATTAAATAAAAATAGCTTAGTACTTCAAAATAAAAAAATAATTATTTTCTCATTTTTTTTACTTATGATTTTATTATTCAATTTAAAGTAACATGAAGACGACACTTTTATAGAAAAATGCAATAAAAATAAAAAGAATTGTGTTTCTTTATAAGTAAAACTATTTTTTTATTAGAATATTCACTTTCAAATATTTAGTAACAAACTTATGAATCTATAACTTTCGAGTGTAAATGATTCAAGCTAGATTTTTCAAGCGTTCTGTTTGAAGTACAGAGAATGCAACTGAATCTCTGCCTTTACGACGATTAAGAAAGGAAAGTTTAAAATTTTTTTTACAGTTTAGAACCTTGTAGTGTTAATTGTTCAGAAGACTAAAGTCTTTACGGATCTAAGTAACCCATTGTTGTAATCGAAAGTTAATTAGACTCGATTTATCAAATAATCTGAACTAAAAAAAAAATTGACACAATTCCAGTAGTACTTCCTACAAAATATAATTGAATTTACAATTAGCAATTATAAATCTATAAAAATCGCGTGAATATGTGAGGTAATTATTTTTGCATAATGATAAAAAATTGTTTAAAATTTAATTGTTTAGAATTTAAAAAAGGTTCGAATTATTTTTTATTTGCCATTTTACATGTCGTGTTATACACAGACTTCTAGATTCATCGAATCCTCGGCCGTGGAGAGAAATTGTCGTGTGCAAACTTATACGGCAATGCTTCACGCGACACATTCACGCACCGTACGATACTATCGCGAACGACTTTGCGGAACAAGTCCACGAGAGTTCGTCACACGAACCGTTCCACGAAACTTGCTCCGAATGGCCGCCGCAGTTCGCCCACACTTAGCAACTTTTCCACGGGGGCCCAGCGTGTATCTAAATCACTTCTCGCTAACGATAATCTCAGCCTTAGAGGGCATAAGCTTAATCGTGCCGCGCTAATTTCCACTCGAAACTCTCCAGACTGCAATAGTCGTAACATTCGCATGAGAGCCCGCGTATGAGAACGTGCCAAGGAACCTTAGAACCTGACCATTTTGAGGGCTCATTCGCGATCTCTTCTGCCTCCCTTCCTCCCTTCTTTCCTCTGTGTACTTCTAGTCGGCTTAAGAGTACGTAGCTTTTAATCGCGAACTTACGTAACGCGAACACGAACGCCATGTTAAGGTCATGTACTATCCGTTAAGTTCTAAAGCACCAGATCCGGCAGTTACATCCATCGGCCATTGCGACGAGCTAATTAGCTAGACGGTCTAATGCAGAGTCGACAAGGCGATTTCGACCGATATATTCTCCGGTTTAATTCTAACGACCGGCACCCCGCTAATCTCCCGAAATTAATCACCGCTGATGTAAGCCAGAAACGCCCGCGGACCGTGCGCGACGTAATTTCCGTCGGCAGGACTCCATTCTCCTCGTTTGTATCCACTGCTGGGATTTTCAATAGATACGGCACCGGCACTCAGGAACATTTCGGAATTGCTCTCCATGCCGTTCTGTTATCTTATAAATGGCGTACTCATCATGGCCATGCGGATTTGCTTTGAGACTATGAAATGATATTACGTCTGCCTTTTCTTGAATACATGCAATAATAATTTGCAACAATTACTTCATTTTGTATTGTTGATATTAATCTTATAGTTGCGTCAAAACTAATTTCTCAATTGCATTTATTCTATATGAAAATACCGTGAGAAATATATATATTTTAAATAAAATTATCTATAATTATAAAATATATTTTAAAAATAATTTATATTATTCTTGAAGCTTCCACGGATACTTTCTATATAAAGATTATGCGTTTCGCGGGTTTTCTCCGTGTTCAGATCCATTCTTGGAATGCCAACGCTTCGTGAATCTTGCAGTCCTTAAAGTGGATTTCACGAAACGTTGGCATTCCAAGAATGAATCTGGACACGGAAAAAATCCGCGAAACGCATAGTTTTTAAATAATTTATATTTCTAAACCTGGAAGAAACGTCAACAAATTAATACTATTCAATTAAGACACTCAAATAACAAGGTAACGTTTTAATGATGTCTTCTCGTTGAAGATGTTATTAAGATGTCATTTGACGTCACTTTGCTACTTGGATATATTATATTTATCTTCTTGACGCACTCATAAAATGAACATAAAGACAATTTACAGAGACTTGTAACATTTTTCTATCCTCGTAACTCTCAAGAAAAACGTCTTTCTCCCCAAAATGGCATAGCTTGAAGTATTGGGGAGGGGGGAGGGAGTAACAATGAAACCGTGTCCGCAAGAAACGATATATTCGTACGTGACTGCTGTGAAAAGAAGCGTGTTTTCCGTCAGACGTATAATATAATGCAATTACCAACGAGTTTGAGATTAAGCGGGAAAGATTTACAGAAAAGGAGCCGTTTGTTCGTTATGCGTATACGCGGACTGACGGGATGAGGCGGATGGAATTCGAGAAGTGGAATCCAGGATAATTCTCACTTAATCCTCGGACACAGTCCTTGTGATGAACCATTCGTTACGCTCTGCGACGGCGACGAGTATTTTTGTCGTAGCATCACCGGCCGCGCGTGGAATAATCCCATCTCCGATATTGCTTCCATCTTTAATGCACTCCAAGTCCATCCACTTCGAGACATATTATACGTCGATCGGCAAGTATCGGTATCGAATTGCGATCGTCGATCGTAGTTTGGGAAACTTGCCGAACTTGGTCGGCCCACTTTTGTCTGGTTTCCAAACTGAATTTTATGGCGACGGAGTCACGTTATATTTATTGCGCTGTCAGTAGTATTGTTTTGATACTCGCACTATTTCGCAGATTGGAAAGTGATCTTCAAAGTAATGAGAAAAGAATAAAATAATAATTTTTAAACCTTTCTAACAATAAGTTGGAAACTCACTTTATTTCAATAATTTAGCGAATTCAATACTTTAGTGCTTTGGTGCTGACATAATAAAATTTTACTGAGCATAATTCGCAAGTCTTGCACGTAGAGGTAGAAAAGCATTACGAACGATACTACAGAATTGTATCTGTTGATTCACAGATATCACACACAAGGAAACGACAGACAATTGGAAGAGGCGCAGCGTCGTTTGGCCATTGAGGACTCATCTTTGGTCATAAAAGGTGTCTGGTGGATAAACGTGAAAGTGCCAATATCTCGCGAATAAAAGCATCGTCGACCAAACCATATACGCGACGCTATACAAAAACGGATGGGCTGGTGCGCGTCGAACGGTAAAATCGAAGCAAAATTGACGCCACGAACGAGGATCCTGCTAGAAGAATATGAGGCCATCGTCTGAGCGCCTGTTCGATCGAGGAGAATTAATTTTCCTTCCGGTCATTGGGTCATGGCGAAATGACCGTACTGCAAGATTAATAGTGTCTTCATGAGAGCTCGGATCTCACGTTAGTCGCTCGATCAGCGAACAACAAGCAGTCCCCTTTCTCGACCCATGAACGGGAGCGAGAGATTCGTCAACTCAAGAAAGCAAGCCGCATCGGGTGAAATTCTCTTTGGATCAACCCAAAAGGCGAAGACGAAGACAAGCAGATAGTACTGACCGACTGAATTTAATCCGAAATCTCTGTCATCAATCTTCCCAAAATCTCGTTTAAAATATTACCTACTCTATCCTGACAAAAGCGGATAAGCAACGCCCTCTAAACAACGCAACGTTACGCTTAAATGCGTGAAAAATTGACAGTGGTCAAAAGTCAAGACGGATCGAGGCAACGAAGGGTAAGTCGCAAATATCATTCGGTAAATAGTAAGATCCGGGGAGATATAACACCTCTCTGCAGCAATCCTCTTTATTTGACCGGCAATTCCCATGGCAATTGCTCTTCGTCTCTCCTGGATTCTCATCCAAGCCCCATCGTCGTTCTCGCGTCTTCCCACGTCGCAGGCATAAAAGTATAACGACTTGGGACGCGTTACGTTCGCGGTTTACAGGGTGAGGGTGCATGTAGTGCTCCCGTGATAGCACGGGATCGTCCGGCAACATCATAAAACTCGTGGAAGAGTCCACATAAGAGCGGCGAAGACGACAACGACGACCACAACGTTTCGAATTATCGAATAGCCGCAAAAATGTGGCGAATAACATCATTTTCGAATAAAATAATTATACGGAGTACAAAAAAAATCGCAATTTTTTAAATAGAAGGACGAAGTATTAATAATAATCGGGCTGATTGAGAAATCAGATTGAAGAGACGGAGATAATGATAAATGATATTCCTTTGTGTAATTCTATGGTCTTTAATATTCGCAAAGTGAGCGTAACGCGAGAGTGACGCAGTGCGGTGAACTGTTAAAACCTTTTGGTCCGGTAGAATTCCGAAGAGACGTTGCCCGACGTGTTCGACACGAAGGAATTCAATCGCGAAATGGACCGCGCGATATTTGAATACTCGCGTAGATTGTAGCGTCCGTAAGTTCAGTAAATCCCGTATCCGAAGTACATATTGTGATCGTCGCACGCGGACAGAGTCCATTTCCGCGGACATCATCGATACTTCGATACTTCGTCCGATGTCTGTTCGTGCGCTGTTCGGAACTTGGACGGGCTGCAAGCAGCTGGGGAGCTTTAGAATCTCTTCTTCGCAAGAGGATCGAACGAGTTCACACGTGTAATTTGTTTGGAGAACGCTGAGACGGTAAGAGAATACCAGAGATATGGATCACGTGCACGTGAAATCGAGATCGGCCTCGAAGAGCAACCCAACGAAGATGGCCTGTGAGAAGGCGTCGAGACGCCTTAGGACGATCCTCGTGAGGGCGTCTCGCATCGGCGTTTCCACGGCGGAAGTCGCCAGGTTACCGGCGGCCAAGAAACTTATCCCGCAAAGAGATCACGGTTGGAAATTGGCGGTGTTTCTCCTACTTATGTTTGGAGGTGGAGTCATCGTCGCCTTGGTGTGCACCGCCAGGAAAGGATGCTCAAAACTGGAGGATATCGTAAGTTGGTTTTTCTCGATATATCTTAATTTTTTTTATGAATATTAATGTATATTTAAATTTCAAAATAACTCGTCTGCACATAGCGGATAGGATAAAATAATGTATTTAAAATTTAATCCAATTTAAGAGTAACATTATTAAATATTTTTACACAATGCAATGTGGATATAGTACTTCATATTATTGAAAATCGAGAGTCATAAATTTCGCACAAAGCATAATTTTATATTAAAGAAGGCATAATTTTAAATTATAAACAATTTAGAAGTTTAAAAACGAAACGGACGCACATTCCTATGAATTTGTTTCAACGACCATGCATATGTGACTTTCTGAAGAATTTCATGAACATGAAAGAGCGGTGGATGTGAGCGGTACATGTCGTATGTAACATGCGGTTGACTTGAGTAAAAGTCACACGTTGTACACATTTTCCAATGAAAGGGACGAGGCTGAAGTTTCCCATGTACTCCGAGAAACTATTTCCGTCAGAAAGAATTTGATGTCACGCTCTGGTCGGACAGGAACTCTTCTCTCTCTCTCTCTTTCTCTCTCTCTCTGTCTCTCTCTATCTATCTATCTATTTATCTATCTATCTATCTATCTCTCTTTCTCTCTCTCCTGTCAGATCTTCTCTCGGAAAATATATTTCACCAAAATTCGCCTAAATTTCAGACCACCTGTAGAATAAATCTGTCATTGCTAGAAATATACTCTCGCTGGTTTTACTGTTTTATTTTTAAAAAATCAAGAGAGAAAGAGAGAGAGAGAGAGAGAGAGAGGAAGAGAGCAGAGAGAACGTGTGATAATGGAAAATTTTTGTAATTCATGTACATATTTTATTTCATTTTCAAGTGTAAAAGTTTGATACTGAACCTCTACACTATTGTGCAATATATTCAATTTTTTTAACAGTCGTCATTGTTGTCGCCGTGAGTACAAAAAAAAAAATATAAAAAATTGTTTTGCATAACATTTTCACGAGTTTTAAAAAATTATTCTACACACAATGTATAGTTTTAATAATAATTATCATTTCAAAAAATTCTAAAAAGTTATGTAAAGTTATTAAGAAAATAATACATATCTATTTGTGCAAATTGAAATTTAATATTTAATCGCAAGTGTAATAATCAACGATACATCTGCTTTGTGCGATGCACGTTTCTCGTATCCTTCCGTTGTCAGCCATTCAAAATCCGTAAGCTTCTCCGGGTGCATCGTAACCGATTCCTCGTATACCTCCTTCAATTTCGCGAAACAAACCGTCATAGAGTTGAAGCGTGCGAAGCACACGTTATGCACGCGCGAGAGCAATCAAGTACTTATGCGCGCCCAACGAAAAGGGAGAGACAGCGAGAGAAGACGCCGCCATGTATGTAGCGGCGGTGGCAAGACATTAGGATCGTGTTAACGATGTTTCGCGCGCGCAAGGAGAGGATGATTGGATGTGCTGAAATTACAGATCAAGGGGTTTCTAAACAATTACGCTGTCGGCAGGAGGTCAGATCTGGAGTAGCGTGACGTTAGAGGCTACGGCTTGCAGGAACTGAGGCTTGTGGCCTGCGGCTGGTTGCGGGCGAGGGCCGAGGTTACCAGGAAGTGCTCTCTCACCGGAGGCGGCGGCGGCGGCGGCGGCGGCCAATGGGTGGGCCGGTGGGTTACGTCGACCGGTCAGTAGAGGAGAGAGTGCGCGCTTCTCTTCTCTGATATTCCCCCTGGGAAACAAGCGCGCTGCTCCATTGTACCCCCAAGCAAAGCAGCACGGACATGGACGCGCATAGGATTGGCGGGTAGTCATCCCCGCACACCCCCTGCTGCTATTACATCGAACGCAGCAACCGCAACGCGGAAAGTTCGCCTTTGAGTCACCCGCCAGGATTGACAGCGATTTTAACTGACGTGACCGAGCTGCGATTATCGCCCACCGGCTGATTGGCGGTCAGAAACATCCCCCCGAGTGGGACCAGTGTTGCCTTATGGCCGTCGGCCGAGAGGATAAAAGGGAGAGAGAAAGAGAGACAGCGTTGTCCCTTGGGTGTTACTTAGTGAATGTTAAATGAAATATTCCAGAGGGTCATTACGATGGGTCCGAAAATCACAAATTCTCTTTGATGCCTTCATCAATTGCTTGCGAATTGCTTATGCAATGTTTACTAATGAGAATCGTTGGAATGTAAAAGGTATCGTTATACTAAGAGCAAAACGATCGTACATGATGCATCTAATGAAACATTTTCGAAGCAACGGCTGTTTACTTAACTGTTTATGACCTACTATTTGTGACCTTATAAATAAACAAGTAGGATATCTTCAAATAAAAAAGATATTTGTTGAAGTGTACATTTTTACGATATTATTTATACATAATTATTAGTTAATTATTGCAAAAAGAATAAATTCTAATTGAAATATATCAAAGATTCTCCAATTATTCACAAATATTACTATATTTAGGAATTAATAATAATAAAAATAATAATAAAATTTCTGTTCTTATATCTGTGTTTTCAGAGATATCTTATTAAGAATTCATTTTGACTCGCGCGACGCAATTTTACGAAACGCTCATTTGTTTCTTCGATTTGTTAAAATCACTTATTCACGACATGCAACGTGATAGCGTAGCCCTTCGATGTTGCTTTATTGGTCTAGTTCGATACACGCGGGTGGTTCTACCACGATAGATCAGAGTGGAGAACACGGATTCTCTTTGATGTCGCCCATGATTGGTAGTTGCTTGCATCGTTGCTTATGTAAAGCTTGTTAACACTATCTTACCTAACCAAAATACCGGAATTGGATACCATCGATTACATGAAAACAATTACGATAAAAGCCAAAAGGAATATTTTATGTAACCACTATAGACAAATGGAGAGAGGGAAGGAAACGTGGAAATATAGTGAAATCTATAGAATGAAAAAAGAAACACATACACTCACAAAGAAAAGTTTCTTCGAATAAAAAAAAATTTATTTGAATCAAAGAAATTTATGTATTACTATACAGTTAAAGAAAAATTTCTTTGAATGAAACGCCCTCCTTTCATTTCTTGAAATCAAATAAAATTTTCTGAAATCAAGTAAATTTTTATTCTCCTCAAAGATATTTTCACTTAAAAAAAAAATCAACGAAAGATTTCTTCAATTTAACTTAAAAAAAAAATCAACGAAAGATTTCTTCAATTTAAATAACTTTTCTCTGAGTGTATCTACATTTGTCTTTGTATATATGACATGAGTATTCCATTTTACACTAAAAGTATCTCATGGTTAACATTTGTTTTAATCTATTATTTGGAATTTTCGCCTTTTTTTCGTCAAGTTTTAAGTACTCCTCAACGTTAAATCGTAATCGCGGACGAAAGCGTTCGCATTCGTTAAAACAAAATCTGTTAGTGCGACGGCTTTATGCGTTGAAAAAGGCGTCCGGTGCAGAGTATGTCGTGTCACTGTTTATCCGAGGCAGCAAGCCGCGACGTGCGGAATCTACGTCAACACCGTCAAATCCCATCACGGACGGGACTGCGAATTTCACCGTCGGCCTCCCGTCGTCGTCGCCGTTGTGTCGCCCCGATTATACACTCTATTTACCTCCGGGACACGTCAACCTGTGATTACCTCCTCGCGATGCGTTCCTGCTGTGGTCGCGGCGGTTCCTCAAAGCGCGTATCGGACATTCATGCGTCCGTCCGAACGCACCCGAGTCTGGTTGCACGCAATATGCGATCGGGAGGGAACATGAAGATGCGTCGAACGTGCGTGACGGCCACCTGTGCAACGGGGAACACGCTTGTATATACGTTATCGATGAGCATGCGTTCGCGGATTGACTGGGAATTTCGAATTCCATTTACATTCTTAATGCCAAGGCAACTAAAAAAAAAAAATCATCCGACTGGGAACGTCGTTTCCGAATGAGGCCGAATCTGACAGAGCGATGAAACCGACAGAAATAATGTTTACTCAACGGGACGAGATTGACTACTGCCGCTGAATACCGAGCGTTTTTACGAGTAAAATTTGCAAATTTTGTTAGAGTAGCGCGAATAAACGATAGCAGCCATTGTAGGATTACGTCGATAGGATACGTCATGTTTATCCAATGGAATCAGCTGCGGATTGTCAGTCTCGAATATACAAAATTTCTTTGCTATGAATTCACTAGCAAAAGTAGCGATGGTAGAAGCATGGTGAATATGTGGATACAACACCCCTTTGATAAATTTATTGATTTAAATAAATTGATTTAAAAATTTTGTTTATCTTTAAATTCTGTCGCTACTGCAAACTGAAACTATTTGATAACATTCACAGTGTGATTATTCAATTCAGATACTAAACTTTATATTTTCTCTGACAGTAGTACAAGTCAATCATATTTTCTACGTATCTTTAATCTATGTTCAGAACAGAGGAAGGAAACAATTATGGAATAGATGAATCGTGGAATATCCTGCATAATTTGAGCTACAATTTGAGGACCATCAAAATTACTTGTTCACATTCTGCAAACATAATATGACATGATATCACTTGGTTATTATAGTGTTACTGCATTGTCATAAAAACTACAGTTTTGCAAATAATTTTACAGGTGTGTACTCTTTATGTAATTTTGAGAAATATATTGGTATTAATTTTGTTACTTTAGTCTAGCTTGGAGGCCTTAAATGTGACTTTTAATGATATAATTAACTAAATATATAATCCTATTCGATGACTTTTAATAACTATAACGATATCGTTACAGTTGTTAAAAGTTACTGAATAGGGTTATTAATAACAAAATGTGTGCATGTATGTCGTGTAAGTTATATTTATAATTTGTGTAAAGTTATACTTTTAGTTGGTGGATTTTCACATCCCCCTCCTATTCCATAATCGTTGTCCTTTTTCTTCTTCAATTTTTTGTAAATTACGTTCGTTCTATATATGTATATTTGAAAAATATTTACCTACATAGCATAATTAGTATCACTCTAAGTTCAATTT